GTGTGTTATCATGTGTTCTTTCTCTTAGCCTAAACAAAACTGATGACGTTCTGACGTCTGACGTAAAAGGTAACACCTTCTGGGGTGTAACCAGGAAGGGATGAACATTATAAGCTCAATTCATTATTATAGTAAAGAGAAGTTGTCAGTGTTTTGCAGAGTGTCTGCTTCAGAGCAGAGCTCTTGTCTGTTTGTTTTGGTTCAGCCCAAGGTCCGACTGAGGCCTGTGCTGCTGAGCGCTGAATGAACCTGAGTGGAGTCAGAAGACTGAAAATAAAGTTTTAAAGAAGAAATCCAGCGGCTTCCTGTTTTATTCGGACATACCATTTTGAACAACACATATTTTTCCTACAGAGGGATGGATGGATGGATGGATGGATGGATGGATGGATGGATGGATGGATGGATGGATGGATGGATGGATGGATGGATGGATGGATATAATTCCACATGTTAATTCATAGTTTTGATGCCTTCAGTGTGAATCTACAATATTCGTAGTCATGAAAATAAAGAAAAAATTGAATGAGAAGTTGTGTCCAAACGTTTGGTCTGTACTGTAGGTAAACATCTAGGATGAAATCTACTGCCAGTTCTTTCAGCTGCTTATTTGTAACAGGATCAGCTAGAAAGCATGATCAGAACCAGGTGTGAACAGAGCTAAAGGCAGGTAAGACACACCTGTATCTCTTATCCACCACGATGCTGTACCACAGCGTGTTAGCCAGCAGGAAAAACTGCAGTAACACAGCGCAGCACGTGGCCCTCTGCAGGCGAGTGAAGGGACTGCGGGGGGGCCTCTCCCACAGCGACAGCCACATGTGACTGTCGCACAGCGACCTCTGCAGCTCACAGCGCAGGAGGCGAGGCAGCTGACGAAGCACCGCCTCTTCTGAGAACACAGGAAAAATATGAAGCGTCAAAAAAGGTCGTGCCACCCAGCAGCCATGAGATACTTGATAATTACCTGTAGCCTCCACTTCAATCTCCACACGTCCACCCGTTCTCTCGTTATCAACAGACAACCACTCCTCAACCAGGAAGTAGTAGCTGTTTTCAGTCTGCAGGTCTTTGACCAACACATATTGCAGCAGCCATGCCGGGGACAGACCTGCGTTGAGAAACATTATGTGATTTGTTAAAACAGGTCCACTGTTTGAAGGACTTGATGACATGTTTGGACCAGGGTTATTAAAGTGAACTAAAACTGACTAAATAACAAAAACCAAAACTGAAAAAACATTTTAGTTAACTAAAATAAAATTTAAAAAATAACTGTATAATCCTTTTACAAAACTCACTTAAACTGAAACTATAGATAGAATATCTTTAGTTTTAGTGTTTGTCAATTTATTTTTTTTAACTGAGTAGTTTCACATAAGCTGTGGGCAGTTTACGGCACCTCATGGTCCGTAACGTCATCTGTTTACAGTCTGCTGCTGCTCAGCATCGTCTTGAAGAAATTCATAGTTATTAGAGGATAGTACTGATGTTAAAAGCACAACACTATATTTTTAGGTTTTCCTTTTTGTAATGTTGACAATGTTTAATCTATTATGTTTTGATTGATATAGATTAGTTACATGTCCGAATTATATAACAACACATAATCAACCATGACATCATGACATTAGATGAGAATTTTGTCTGAATGCCTGTGATTCAGCCGTAGGTCAGTAGGGGGCGAACACAGGCATTGAAGAACATGTATAAATTGATGAACTTCCTGGTTTTTCGCCAGTGTTGGTTTCCTGTCGGCTCAAGTGACATTAAACCTCACTCAGATCCAGAATTCTGGTGTTGTATGGTTTGATTCCTTCTACAAATCATTTTATTTAACAATGGTGTTTTTAATATCGACTTCAGTTTATTGAATACGAATTTTCTTACAGTCTGCCAAATGACAACAACAAAAGTTCAAAAGCAGTGTCCACTTTGGGATTTCTTTGAATATGACTGCGAGAAAAATCAAAGTAAGTGTGTTGTAGTGGAAACAGGTGATAAAACAGGTGGAATACTTCTCAAGGGATAAACGGCATGAATCAAACTCACACAAGATGGCTAACTATGACTATCTTGACACGCTAACTTCTCTCAGTAGCTCCCATGAAAAACAAGCAACTGGAGAAAACTATTATCATCATCCTAAAATAATCGCCCAAGACCTTAGTTTGCAAAATTGGGTTACACAATTATTTTATGAAGGTGTTATAATGGACTGCTTTAACTAGTGACCAAATAACTAATGGTTAGTTAACTCACAGGATCATCACAAGCTTGAGGATGCATTGTTATATATTTTTATTCAAACAATAAAAAGACTAATACTAGAACTAATAAAAACTAAACTAAGCATTAAAGATGCAATAATAACTAACTAATAAAAATGAGCAAATCCACTGTTAAAACTAATTAAAACTAACTGAATTAAAAGAAAAAAGTCACGATGAAATAAAACTAAACTATATTGAAAACTATTATAACCTTGGTTTGGACGCATGTCCTCACCTTTGTTGTCATGCCAAATCCGTATTTTCCAAACACTCCCCAGGCTGGTGTCTGTGGCGATCTGAAAAACGTCCAGGGCATTGCGCGTGAAAGCGCCTTTGCTGTCGAGGTGACGGTGTCCGCTGCGGCTCTCTCGTCCGTACAAACTGATTCCCACATGAGCTGTTGTCCCTGAGTGAGCAAAAAGTAAAATGCTGCAGAGGCTATTCTGAGAATATTCAAATTTATGAAACCACAGGAGTGGAGATTTTTTACTTTTGGACTTGGATTTACAGAGATGAGCCTCACCTGCTCCTCGACTCCAGCCAGTTTTGACTTGGACCTCGTACTTAAAGCTCCCGCTCTGGCCGCAGAGTGGAACCACAGCGGCTCGGCTAAGATCCAGCTGGTCCAACTTATGCAAGATGGCCGCTGCCACGACATAGCTTAACAAACCCAATATGCACACCAACAATACAATCAGGCTTGGTGCACCTGAACGCTCCTGGAAACAAGGTAAATGGTAGAGAACGTGTTTAGGTAGTCGGTGTATGGGATTAAAAAAGTGATTTATTTGTGAGATACTGACTGGCATTATAAAGCTGATGGCATTGGTTGGTACAAACAGTCCTGCAGCGAAGGCCGTCAGGTGCCTGGTGCGGCAAACTGCTCTGCTAAAGGTGGTCTCTGCGAGGGGCACCATGCCATCTGTCTTCCACTGCTTCTCGGTCTCACTGAAGTACTGACACAGGGAGGCGAACACCCCGACCTCCAGGTGAACACCAGCAAGCTGAGTTTCAGCGCTGCAGGGCGTAGTTACGTTGATAAAGTAATCCAGAGTGGTGTCGTAGAACCTGTGCACCATGAGACAAATGTAAAAGGTTTTTATCAAACAATAGATAAGGAGCTAAATTTTAAAAAGTAGTGCAGCATGGTTATAGTCCTCTAGCCCACTATTACCCTTTAGAAAAGATGATGGTGGTCTAATGTCAAACAGAGTTTTAGGTGATTTATTCATGGTGTGAAAAAAAGTGTTCGGTGTAATTTCCAGCTTTTCAGCAACAGCCTCTGCAGCCTTTTCTGATTTATGAAAAGAATTCTGTGAAAAATGTTTGGAGTGTTTATCACCTCTAAAAGGATTTATTCAGTTAGATGAGAATTGTGGTGATAAAAGAAACTACTGCTGACCTTCATGAAAAACCTCCCAGTCGCTCACTACAAGATGTGCAAATATGAGTGCTTTGGTAAAAAGTCAATGGCTGCAAGCGGAGCTAAAAAGATTGGGCCTGATGCAAGAACATGTTCATATTCTTATCCTAAATTTCTCTTACTTTTGTTCGTACAAAGGGTTCGTACGAACATGCCACGTCAGATTCAACAAAGTGTGTAAATGAGCAGTGTAAACTGATGAATGCGTATCAGGTGCTCGCACACGAGGAGAGGAGATTAGCATAATTACCATCCTAAAATCACCATATAAGGGTATACGTTTCCTGCCACACATACCAGGAAGTGTCCATTCATAAATGACATCGCAAAGTAAAAAGAAGAACTTAATGAGTTCAGAGATTGAAGTCCTGCTCTCAGAGATCCAGAAAAGAAAATCTGTCATTTTTAGCAGCGTCAGCTGTGGAATTAAAGGAATAAAACCACGACTGCTGTTAATGTCGTGTCTCCTGTGGGTCGTATACAGTCACAGAAATAAAAATCTAAAACATATTCATCTCTAACCCTGCTCCGCTCTTCCTCTGGTCAAATATTTTTAATTTAAGTGTAAACAACTGTGTTACATAGTTTTCATTTATTAAGAAGAAGCGCAGTCGTGCACCGCTGCCCCGCCCCACGTTTCTGAAAAAAAAAAAGCATTTTAAAATGTCTCCAAACTTCAGTTAACTTCAAATTAATATTGTAGTGCTATACAACAGCATTAATAATTGATTTAATTTAATTTAACCAATTTATGTCGTTAGTCTACATTATTACAATTAAAATTATAATTCCAATTCAAGCAGAATAGCCT